GACCGTGTCAAAACCCGTTTGGTTCACTAATATCCTTCAGAGAAGGAAATCAGCCATCCTTGCCCAGTCTGGCCTACATGTGAGTCCAGACGCCCAGCAATATGATTGACACTTCTCAGCAATTAGCACAGCCTAACCAGTGGTGCTGATATACCATTAGTGAATTAATTAAGTAGAAGATAATAAAAGAGACAGGTGGTGAGTGACTTGCTTCAGGATTTCAAACCTCTGACCTGTTCTTGCAGCCCATGTATTAATATGGCCAGTCCAGTTCAGCTTATGGTCAATGGTAACCTTCAGGATGTTCATCGTGTGGGATTCAGTGATGGTAACTGTAGTGACTGGAACAAGGTCGACCAGAAGGAGCTCATAGAATATGAGTTCCCTGACCGGGGCTATTAATTTGGTCCAATCAGGGAGCCCTGGTTAACAGATAAGAACAGGAGTGTCTGGGGAAAATTAAGAACTACTCCTGTGAAGCAGTAGTGTGGGGCTAACAAAAAAAATTATAAACAGGGGATTTAGAATCTCCTCAGTTCAGAGGACTGACTGTGAGCTGGCTGGCCACAGCCAGTGTACTGTGCAGAAGGAAATAAAGGGTGACTTGGTGACTGGATACTGGCCTCTGTGCAGTTTAAAAAGAAGAACATGAGTGTTAGACATCCTGTTCACTCTGGGAGCTGGATCAGTGTCAAGGACTCTCCACATGTAAATAACGGGTGATTTAGTGACGTGATACTGGCCTTTATGGAATTATTTCAGTAGTGACAAGAAAACAGCATGCTCCTGAAGAAATTCACTCACAAACAGATATTTTTGAATTGGGGTAAGCATTTCTGGTTCATGCTGTTATTTGGAAAGCTTGACTCGTTTGATCCTATCATCGAAGACTGAGCCCAGTATGTGGAAAGAATGCGTTATTTTATCTGGGCAAATGGCATTGGGGCAGATGAAAGGCCTAACTTTCCCTGAGGCACCAGATTATAAAACCTTTCAAGAGTTGACAGATTTAGTTAAGGAACATTACAACGCCAAGCCTCCTCTAATTCTGAGATGCTATCGATTTTACTTGGCAATTCAAGAACGAAGGGAGTCCAAATCAAGATTTTTGATTAGGTCAAGACAACTGGAAGAGGCGTGTGACTTTGGTTTAACTCTTAATGAGACGTTAAGAGACCATTTGGTATGTGGAATTAATGATGTAACCATGCAAAAGCGCCTACTAGCTGAAGCCCAACTGGACTTCAAACAAGCACAACAACCAGCTTTATCATTGGAAATTGCAGCAAACGGGGCATATGAGTTGCAATGGAAGTGGACACCCTCGCCAGTCCATCTGAGCTTGGGGAACACCATTTGAGTGAAGGCAATTGCATAGCCCCACTCAGAAAATCCTGAACAGAGGGACTGTTGCCGTAAAAACCTGTTAAAAAAAAAGCTACGCCTCGGCCAAACGGTTAATATTTTCTTCAGGAGCCAGGCTGGCAAGCAACTGAAGTTGCTGTCAGTACGCAGACTCAAGACAGTAAAAGAGTCCCACTAGACCCAAACTGAGTAAGTGAACTCATAGGCTGGTATCCAGGAGAATACACACCTTGGAAAGCCCACCTACATCTGGTTTGAAACAGTTAAATTGCTTAGCAACATCCAAATCAGAACCAATCAAAATAAATGTCTAGTTAAATGGTCACCCAGTTCTAATCGAGGTCAACACCAGTGTAGCCGTTTCAGTGATTGCAGATCCAGTCTTTAACAGAATTTGCTCTGGACTCCAACACTTAAGTTTGCACAAGACCTTAATAGACTGAGAACTCATACTGGGGAACCTTTACAGACTAAGGGTACAACTTCAGGTCTGGTCTCTTATGTGAAGCAGATGGTTCAGTTAACACTGATTGTAGTACAAGGCTCGGGCCCAAGCTTGATAAAGGTGAAATTGGTTGAGAAGGATTCACTTAGATTGGCTCAACATTTTTCGATTAGAAAATGACTGCCTGAGTGAAGTCATAATTAAATACCTGGGTGTTTTTCAGTCTAGGGACTATCAAAGGCTGCTGCCAGATACCGGCTGAATTCCACCAGGGTCATCCAGGGTTTCCAAAGTGAAGATGTTAACGAGAAGTTATGTCTGATGGCCAGGACTGGACGCAGCCACAGCACAGCCCCAACAATGAGGACAAAAATTACTGCCAGCAGCTCCCCCACATTCATGGGAATGGCCAGATAAACCCTGGACTCAGTGACATGTCAACTAGGCAGGTCTTCTGGTGGGCTCAATGTTCTTAGATATTGTGGACGCCTACTCAAAGTGGCTTAATGTGCATAGAGTTCAGTCATCAAACACAGAGATAGAAAAGCTGCATGCATCTTTTGCAGTACATGAACTCCAGGAAGTGTTGGTCACAGATAACAAGCCATCATTTACCAGCAGGGAATTTGAGTATTTCCTAAAGTCAAATGGCATTTGACATTGAAGGACAGCTCTATACCATCCCATCATTCAATGGTCTAGCAGATAGAGCAGTCTAAATTTTGAAGGCAGGGGGAAAAGACACAGCCTACAGCTTCAATAGATACCAAACTGTCCTGGTTCCTATTTGATTACAGGACGGCCCCAACAGCTGCCCCCCGCCCCCAGATCTGCCAATTCAAGTACAGGAATAGTTCCAGCAGAGTTGCTAATATGGTGAAGATTGCTGCCCAGATTAAATCTGATCTTCCCGAAACTAGGAAGGATGGGGGTGGGGTGGGAGTGAAACGGCATCACGAATACCAATGCCACTCACAAGAGTGTGCTAAGCGGGACAGACCGTTTAATTCAGGGTACGATGTTTGGTGCAGGAACAACGAGAATGGCTCTACCTGAATAAAAGGCACGGTCGACGTGAGGTCAGGTCCCATGATGTATAAGATTCGGGTAGGTGTGACAGTCCTGAACAAACATGTGGACTATATGAAAGCTGCAAACTTGCAAATGGTGTTTGGCAAAATGTGCCCAGTTCTTTGACAGTCTTTCCGACTATCCTGGAATCCATGGGTTCTCCTTCTCCATCAAGCCTTGAAGATACCTCGGAATCCAAGATGAACACAGTGGATGTCGCCGCCTCGAAGAGGACAATGTGTTTCTTCCAAGACACTTCGGGCACAAGAGGCAAGCTATTGTACATTACACACTGACCATATCAAAGGCAGAGTTGGAGGAACATGACCTGGTGCTAAAACGCCCCAGGAGGAGTGACAAAAAATAAAATAACTGACCTATGTCCCCAGACTCAGAGGGGGAGGGATTTGGTGATGGTAACGAGGTCAGCCAGGTGGAACTCATAGAATATGAATTCCCTGATTGGGGCTGTTAATCTGGTCTAATCATGGAGCCCTGGCTGACAGATATAAAGAGGCGTGTCAGAGGTTCTGTTCACTCTGACAGCTGCCTCTGAAGGAGCTGGATCAATGTCAAGGACTTTCCATATGTAAATAAAGGGTGATTTGGTGACGGGATACTAGCCTCTGTGGAGTTATTTCAGTAATGCCATTAAACATCAATATTATCTCTTGTTAGAGATGGTCTTTGCCTGGCACATAAGTGGCAATTAATGTTCATGCCAAATGTCAGCCCAAGTCTGGATGTTGTCCAGGTCTTGCTGCATATGGACAGGGCTGTTTCATTACCTGAGGAGTCACAAATATGCTGAACATTCTGCAATCATAAGTGAACATCCCCACTCTGACTTCACGGTAGAGGGAAGGCCACTGAAGCTGAAGACGATTAGGTCTAGGACACTATGCAGTGTTATAGTTATGCTGGAACAACATGACTAAGGAAAGCAGCTTATGCTGAAACACAGCTTTCAGTTCTGTTGCCAAGGCCCATAGCTTATGGAGTATTCATAGCCTTCAGCTATTTCATGGAGTGAATTGAATTGGCTCCGAGACTAGATCTATGATTCTGGGGACTTCATGAGGAGTCCAAGATGGATTGTCTATTTGATCTCTACTGGCAGAAGATGGATGCAAATCTTTCAGTTTTGATATTTGTACTCATGTGTTGGGTTTCCTCAACATTTAAGTTGGGATATTTAAGGAACCCCCTGTTTCTTGATCAGCTGTCTGCCACCATTCAGAACTGGATATGAAGGACTGTAAAGTTTAGATCTGATCTAATTGCTATAGGATTGCTTAGTCCTTTCTAAAACAGAGGCAGGAAGAATGTGAGGGAAGTGGAGAGTGGTGTGAGAGTGGAGAAGAGAGGGTACTGACAGTGAGGAACAGAGAGTGTGAGGGAGGGTATAGGAGAGACAATATGGGATACGGAGAGTGTGTGTGCATGGGAAAGGAGTAAGGACCCCCACAAGTGACGAAGTATTGGAAAGTAAGGTAGTGTACATGATAGTGGAACAGGGAAGGAATATGCAAACCAGGAGAATGAGTGACATTGAATATACCACCTTCTCCTTCTGCCTCCAAAAACCATCCAAAAGGCTGGCTGGGAGTGGAGAAAAACCCAAGATAAAAAGTAACTCACTTCCAACCATCGCTTCATATGAATTCCACTGAGGCTGACACAGAGTGTTCATCACCAGAGTTGAACACACTGTTGGTGTCAGTTAAGTCCAACTGCTTAACTTAGCCCCAGGACCCATTGGTTTCCTTGGTGATCAGGTCTTCGGACCTAGTCCGTTTGTCTCTCACTCTTCTTCTTAATCAAAAAGGCAAGAATAGGTTTTATTAATTAAGTCTTCTATTTGGCACTTCTTAATGTTCATTCTGCTCTTTATAAAGCAACTGAGAAAAGTGAATATTTGAAGTTGAAACAAAAACAATGTTGCTGGAAAAGCTCAGCAGGTCTGGCAGCATCTGTGAAGGAGAAAACAGAGTTAACGTTTCGGGTCCGGTGACCCTTCCTCAGAACTGGTTTTTATTTATTTAAAGTTGAAATCCAGTCTGCATTCAGATTATATTTAGAAGCCATTTAACTTTCAATGTTAACAGTTAAGGCATACCTTTTGGTCATCAAAATTATTGACAACTATGTAAAAATGTTATGCCTTCCTGTCTTGACTTGCTATCATGTCTTTGGAGTATCCTTTGCCGCCATTCAGGATATACGAAATGATTACATCCACAATTTCTTGCATTTTCTGCTGTGTCAATTGATTTCAGTTTGAAGGAACTATTTTTGCGGCTCTAACCACACATCTCAGTTCTTGTGTACGTTCAACATCAAAATAGTGACTTCTGGAGAAGAAAAATCAGTAAATTACATTTCTTTACAAATACATTGTGCTACAGACATCATCATAATCATTTTGAGCCTTTTCTCAAGTCAGTACTTTATCAAAATATATTATAAAGTATTTCTTTATGCTAGAGTGTTGTTACCATCGAGCCACCCAGCTCCATCAACAGAAAACAACAGTGTCCAATTGGCTGAAACCAGCAGTAACCCCTACTAAATGTGTAAATAAGCATAAAATGAGGCTTGAATCACCTAAATTGATCATTGTGATAATTCCGTCACCATAATTGATTGGGAAATGACACATGCTAGAGTTGGATATGGTAAATGAGGGCAGGATGGGGGTAAATCAAAGAACAGAGTGCTGCCATTTCTGGCATATGGGTGAATTCATACAACTGGAAACAAAGAGCTCCTGATAGGAGAGATGACAATGAATAACACCATAGCACTGAAACTCCAGAGGAAGCCTGCCAATCTTGTGCAATTCCAGCAGAACCTCAAAGCCACATATTCTGTTACATGTTGTTTCTTTTAAACATCTTCCACTAGAGTTACAGCAGAAGATTGGTAAATACCTGTAGAATTTCAAGCCCTATATGTTTAATTGCCCCAGATTATGTTGAGTCTTCCACTGAAACAGCTCAAATAAGTTTATAACCAATTAGACAGGCTAACAAGAATGCATCAGAGATAGTAGGAACTGCAGGTGCTGGAGAATCTGAGACAACAAGGCATAGAGCTGGATGAACATAGCAGGCCAAGCAGCATCATAGGAGC